CAGCATAGTGAGATCCTTTCACCAATTAAATAAATACATAAATAAATAACAAAAAACTTTTAGAATTGAAAAATATAATAACCGAAATAAAATAACCAGAAGATGGGTGTTTAGAGAAGATTAGACTCAGCTGAAGAAAGGTTGGCTGAATTGGAAGGTAAATGATCATAAAATATCCAGACTGAAGCAGGGAGGGAAAAAGGATTGAGAAACAGAGAAAAAACTGAAGATGACATAGAGTGAAAATTGGAGGCTATTCCACCTATGTTAGGAGAAGCTGGGTCTCCTGCCTGCTTCTCTTTCTTGGAGAAGAAAGAGAAAACAGAGCAAAGGAAAGGAAAATGACGGAGAATTTACAAACTGATGAAAGATATCAAGTCGCAGATCCAAGAAGCCCTTGGCACATCACAGTAAAACCATGTCTAAGTTACAAATGTCTGTTTTTATTTTGCTTTTAAACAAAGAGAATATCTTAAAATCTGACGGGGCGGGGGGAAGATCTGCTATCTTTAAAGAGCAACAGTAAGACTGATTTTTGGCTTCTCGATGGAAATAATGGAAGGTAGCAAACAATGGAATCATATCTTTAATGTTCTGAGAGAAAATAGATGCTCACCTAGAATTCCACACCCAAGGGAAAATGTCTTTCAAAAATGATAGTGAAATTAAGGCCCTTTCAGATAAAGACTGAGGAACTTTATCACCAATATTCTCACATGAAAAAGAAATATCAGATATTTTTTTATTCAAGCAAATGGAAGATTATCTTGGACATAAATAAGATAATGCAAGAAGAAATGAAGAAAAATAGAAAGGGAAAATATATAGGCAAAGCTAATTAATGGTCCCCATCTCAGGGTGATTTTGCCCAATATGGAACATTCGGCGATGTCTGCGGTCATTTGTATTTGTCACAGCCTGGAGGCTGGTGCTACTGGCATCTAGTTGGTAGAGACCAGGAATGCTGTTAAGCAATCTATAATGCACAGGAAAGTCCTCCACAACAAACAGTTACTTGGCTCAAAATGTCAACAGTGTCAAAGTTGAGAAACCCTGATCCAAATTACTATTGCTTATATAGAACAATAATATTGTCTATGAGGTTTAAATTTATGCAGAATTACAGTATGATACAAAACTATCACGAAACATGTGACTTGGTACATGGAGTTAAAGTGCTTGAAGATTTGGTGTAGCCTTGGTAGTGATAAGAGTCTAGTTTATTTTATACAGTAGTAAACCAAAGATGCACTTTGTAATGTAAAAGTCTGTATCATTAATAAGCTAACGGGAAGATTAATAAAATTATAGGGAAAATTGTTGATTAATCCAAAGTGCAATTGTAAAGAAAGAGAAAAAAATAGAACAGATGGAACAACAGAAATTGCATCGTAATTGGTAGATAGAAACTCAAATATGCCATTAATGGCATTAAATATAAACAGCCTTAATATTCCAAATAAAAGACTGTCAGAGCAGATAAACAAACAAAATCCACTAATATGCAGCTTAAGCCATCTGTTTTAAAGTTTGAAAGATTTGCCTTAAATATAAAATCTGGAAGTTGAAGAATGTAGGTAGATATACTATGCAAATGCTAACCAAAAGCTTCATATTGGTCTGTTGATATGAAATAAATCAGCCTCTAAAGTAAAAAGCATTGTTTAGAGACAAAATGGGACATTTCATAACAATGAAATTGTCAATCTACCATATGTACTCAGTGATTTTTACATGATATATCAATTAATGTAGCATCAAATGCATTAGGCAAAAATTGGCAGAAAAAAGTAGAAATTAACAAATAGAAAATCAGAATGTGATATCTGAACATACCACTTTAAGTAATGATAGGAACAAGCACAAACCCACAAAAAAGCATTTTTTAATGGAAGACCTGAACAACATGGAATCAAAAACCCTTGTCTTAGTTGATATACTATAAAACACTTCACACAATAAAATTCATATTCTTTTCAAATGCATATAAAATATTTATCAAAAAGTACCATATGTTTGATAGAGAAATTTAAAGTTTTAACTGCAAAAAAAGTATTGTAATTTTAAATATTAGAAAAGAAAGAAGTCTGGGCCGGGCATGGTGGTACACACTCATAACCCCACATACTGGGGAGACTAAGGCAGGAGAATCACAAGTTCAAGGCCAGCATGGGGAATTTAATGAGGCCCTAAGCAACTTAGAAAGACCATGTCTCAAAAAGGCTGGAGATGTAACTTAATGGTAAAGCGACCCTGGGTTCAATCTCCAGTACAAAAAAGAAAAGAAAGAAAAATAAGGAAAGAGAAAACAAATTATACTCAAAGAAAGAAGGAAGAAAATTAAAAAGAAAACGAGTGAAATATAAACACCCATTTTAAAAGTATTCACCTTTAAAAAAAATTTTTTTCAGTGCTGTAGATTGAACCGAGGGCTATGCATGCTAAGCGAGAATTCTACCGCTGAACTACATCCCCAGCTCCTAAAATAAACTTAAATCTATAATTTAGGTTATAAACATCAAAGGTAATAACATAAGATGCTAGAAAATAACACGAAGCCTATCTTCATAACTTTGGGGAGGGAAATACTTTTTAAATGTGAAAAAAAATTATAAATTGAACTACATATAAATGAGAATCTCTGTTTATCAAAAGAAGGCACACTTAAGATATTAAAAAAGCAAACTCTAGAGTGGGAGAAGGTATTGATAAAGCACACACCTTCTCACACCTTCTCAGAGCACGTGAAGAATGTTTACCATACAAATAAAGACAGAAAATTGAAAAGTAGGCAAAAAAAGACTTGAAGAGGCAATTATAAGAGTATCTGAAAGTTTAATGGATGATAATAAAAAGATGCCCAAATTCATTAATCATGAGAAAATGCAGAAACTGCTGTGGCGGAGATACCAGACCTGATTGTAAAATGCAATTATCAGACCATTATGATAAAGAACCAGTTCCTAGGGAAAGGGTTCATCCCCACCCCGCCCCAGCCAGTCTGTATCCATTGGATTGTAAATAGCTATCTCCAGGAGTCGCCCTTTTGAAATGTAAACATCAAGGAAAGAGATTCAACAGGTGCCTGTGAAGAGTCCTTTCTTACGCTTTGAAACTTTCTGAACTCTGTAGGAATGTAACTACACCACTTAGTTGTTAGGCCAATTAACTGCTGTCTAAGCTATGACCTCCTTGGCTTAGTTCCTAGAAATGTAGCTCTCAGGGAGATAAAGTCACCTTGAGTTACTGCTGCCTGTGGTGAAGGCCACCTCATGATAACACTCACAGGTGTTTTACTGTCTTTGTTCTATACCTGGGAACTACTTATGGTAAATTCCTGTGCATGGTCTTTGGTCAGGTAGGCCAAGAATTCAAACCCATCCATGTTGTAATGGTTAAGATATGATGTCAGATCTCCTATAGAAGCCCTGTGTACTCTCTGCTCGGGGGCCCAGAACTTCAGAACACTCGCTCATCTGGGTCCGCCAGAGGAAATAAACCTGAGTTCTCCAACCCTCCGAGAGGTGTGTAGTCTCTTGCTGAATGAGATTTCCATAACACACACACACACACAACCAGAGGGCTAAAATGAAAAGTACTTTAAAAAATAGTAAAAGTTGAAGACTATGTGAAGTCACTAGAACTCTCATTCTCTGATGATAGGAGTATATAATAATACAGCAGAGCTACTGAAGCTGAAAATATTCAGAGCTCATGACTCAAAATTCTGCTTCTAGTTATACCCATCAGAAATATGTACAGTTGACCCTTGGCATCCTCGGGGGATGCGTTCCAGGACACACCTCCCCCAGGTACCAGTTGGTGCTCCAGTTCCTGATATTTCAGTGTCATATTTGCATATAATCTGCCTACATCTTCCCATATACTTTAAGTCATCTCTAGATTACTTAACTAATATAATGTAAACAGTTGTTTGCTGTATTGTTTAGGGGATAATGACCAGGAAAAAAAAAAAAAAGTCTGAACATGTTCAGTATAGGCATATTTTGGATCCGGGTTTGGTTGTGTCTGCAGGTGTGAAACCCACAGACATGGAGGGCCAATGGTATGTGAATGCTTAATGACATATAAAAAATAGTTGTGGAAGCATTCATAACACTGTTACTTGGAAACAACCCAAATAGCTATCAAAAGTGGAATGGATAAACTGTTATGTTAAATCCAATCGATGAAATATCATACATTAATGAAATTGAACACATCCACAAGACAGAATCTCCAATATTGAATTAAGCAAAAAAAGTCACATAAAATAATAGGCACTGTATTATTCCACTTCTGTAAGGTTTAAAATAGACAAATCTAGTTTATGGTATTAAATTTCACAATAGTGATTATTTTTGGGGGGATAGAGAGAGGAATATTATGTGTTCTTTCTTTCTTGAGCTGGGTGGTGCCTATATCATTATATGTTCAGTTTATGAAAATCCACTAATGATCTGTGCACTTGGTTGTGGAATACACAAGGAAAATATATGGAACTTCCCTAAAAATATATTATAGAAAATATGTGATGAAATGGGAACATGCTAAAATGACATGTATTATCTGATCACCAATTTAACAAAAAATACTTATGTAGATGGAGCTGTAGATTGTATGTGGGTAGAGGTAAAGATTAAATATAAATGAAGAAGACATACATATTGATGTTTTAGAAAGACTGAAAACATACTAAATTATTAATAGGTGTTATCTCTGGATATTATTACTTTTATTATTACATTTCTTTGTACTTTTCTGTTTTTTTGAATTTCTAAAAAAAAAAATTATAAAGTCATGAGGCATTCACTTCTGCAATGGGAGGAGTTGAGATGTGAGAGAATTTCACAGGAAGCACCGACCGACCGGCAGGGCGTGGAGAGGGGCAGAACCAGAGGGCAGTGAGAGGCCGGTCACGTGCTCTCAGCTCCTGCTGGAACCTCTTTCTACCCCCAGCAGGGCCTGCTGACATCCTGGGTCTCCTGCCAGCTGCACGCTCAGAGGTCCAGAGCCAGCATCATGAAGTGGTTGCATCTCCAGCTGCTGCTGCTCCTCGGCGGGGTGGTCCTCCCAGTGTCGGGGAAATTGAAAGACAGAGTTCATTTTGAAATTGAATTTCTGGATTACCGTAGGTATTTTGGCTGGGTTTCAAAATGAAGAGTGGATGGAAAATTAAAGGACTTTCCCCAGTCCGGTTGCAGAGAGGAGCCAGGGGTGACCATATAGAGAAACACGGGTTCTTTTTTTTTAAGCCAGGATACCCAAGGGAAATAAAATGATCCAATCTCAACCTTGAGGGTCTCCTGACACTACAAGTAATTTGGTGTCTCTGTGTGTGTTGGGGGGGACTGTGGAGGCCATATTGAGTTTTTGAGGAGGACACTTATAAGAGGTCCAGAGGATTCAGAGCTTGCAAGAGGGGGTACCAGGAGTGTGAGTCCCTGGTTGAGTGTTCCAAAGATGAACACCAAATTGGGAAATGGCTACTTATTATTTCTTAACACATGGCCCTTTTTTAAGGAATTGAGTATTTCAGAGCACTGAAATACGAAGGAGAAATAAAATGCATGCCTGATGGAAGCCCTGGGGTCAAAACAAAATGAAATGTGCAGAATTTGGGGAGGGTGGGGGTAGATACTGCAGCGTGGTGGGAGGAAGGAGCTCAGCTTAAAGGGCCCTTTCAGCGGCAGCGGAGGTGGAAGCCCCTTCCTCTACTGCTCTGGGACTCCACTTTTCCCACACCCCCACAGAAGGAGGATGGGGGGACTAGTCGACCTCTCGGGGCTCTTTGGAGAATTGGGCTTGGTTTCTGTGGGTTTAAATTCCACGAGGTGACTTCAGAGTGGCTAGGGGAATTGAGGAGAGTGTTGGGGATTGGATCTTTATCCCAAGAATCAAAAAGACCGCTTATGTCCTTGGGTGGGAGAAGAGGGGGAGTCTACACAGGGGGTCCCTGAGCATGAGAGGAGCTGATGATAGTGAGGGACACTCTTCTTTAGGGATTGAACTGCTTTTTCTCTCCTCAGTTTTATCAAAACCAAAAATAAAATCCTGTCCCAAGACCCCTACTGCCACACAGTGTGGGACCCCCTGCAAGATACACCTGGAGTGCCCTATTGACCATCTTTGCTGCGTCGCCGTCTGTGGAAAAGTCTGCATGCAAGTTGAAGACATGGGTGAGATACGAAAAGCACCTTCCCCTCCTCACCAGGTCCCCACACCGTGGCAGACAGCCAGCCAGACGCGCTGTCTCCCCAGTCTCCGTATCCCGCCTGGTGACCTTTGCTTTCTCACCCCAGCCCCGGGCGTCCGAACTCCACTCTCAGGCCTGTTCCTTCTAGCCAAACCCCAGGAGGTATGGCGTGGCCTTCTCTGCTCACTGGACTTAACACATCACGAGAGAAGCCTTCGCTCTCTCAAACCACAGGAAGCATTCCTGCCCCCCGGGGTTCAGGAGGATCAGTTATGCCTCAAGAAATGCTTCTTCCCCTTATGTCTTCCAGAGAACGAAAATCTGGGATAGAAGATCAGCAACATGGTTTAGGGCTGAACACGAAGTGCTGAGCCCTAAACCACGGTAAGAACTGGAGGGAACCCGGGATCTTGGAAGAGGACTAAGCGACCTCCTGTGGGACCATCTCCCTGCCCCAGTTGTGGGTGGGGAAATGGGCCCGAGGGCCACGTCTCTCCTGTCTGCCAACACTTCTCCTGGAGCTGATACTTCAGCAGTCTTACGTCCTTTCCTAATAAGTTGCTGTAGTCCCCTGGAACTTCTGTTTCTTTTGCTGTCCCCCAGACCTGCTCTCACTCCACCTTTCACCCAGGCCCCCAGCCCTGCCTCCTGGTTTGGCTGTCCCTATCTCCCCCCCTTTAGAGGCTTGGTCTTCTTAGCTGGGACTCCTGGACTGACTGACCTCTGTGCATTGGCTAACGCCCCTGGGAATACTGCCTGTGTGGGCAAGGCTCTTCAGACGGCCCAAGACCCTGTTCCTGGGGTTCTCCACCTCCCATTATCTCAGGCCTGGGATTCCAGGAGATCTCCACAAGCTACATCCCCTTTAACTAATCCAGGGAGATAAAGTCTTACGTGAATGTGCCATCGGTTACTATTATTTATTCAGTCATTTGGAGTTTTCAGGGTCTTTTTTTTTTTTTTTTCAAATATAAGTGCTATTACAAGAAACAACCTCCAGAGGCCAACACGTGCCACTTTGTGGCAAGAGCCACCTTACAGGAGTGGAGGGGTCCCTACCCAGGAAGGGTTAAGTCATGTGATCCAAACAGTGGAGACCAGGGAGTAGGTGACAAGAAGACCTAACAGAGTCCGCCTCATGCTTAGAACATAACCCTGGCCGCTCTGCCACTGTGACCTATTTTAAAACGGACACTCCTTTTCCCTTTCTCTTCTCCTCCTCCCCTCACCACGAGGGGAGCAAGATCAAACTTCTTCCCATCCTAGGCCAAGTCCCTGTCCTTGCGCTCACACGCCACAGGAACGAAGGGATCCGACTTCAGGACTGAAGCCAGAAGACCTGGGAACTGGCTGGCTCGCTCTGGAGGCTACAAGTGGATGATGACGTCTGGGATGTAGCCTTCTGAATCACCTCTTTAAAAGTCCCCTGCTCCCCCCCAACAGAGTCACAGCCTCTGGGACCGGAGTCCCCTGTTTCTCCTCTGCATGCAAAGCAATAAAGCTTCTTTTTTCTTTTTCTTGAAACCGTGTCCTCATTATTGGCTTGGCCCTGGGAACAGGGACTGCTGAACTTTCAGTAACAAAGCGACTAGTGGAAGTTTACTCAGTAAGATAAGGTGACAGATGGATGTATATAGACCCCCACCTCCACCACACCCCAAGTTTCCTGAAATGCCTCTCTCCGGAGCTAGAGGTGTGTTGAAGGTAGAGCACACAGGGGAATAGGGTTAGGAAAGGGCTCCCTGGTGTTCTCTTGGACTAGCAGGGAGCGACCACCTTCAGCCAAACCCTGTGAACTGTTTCCCGGGTGAGCAAGTGGAGACACAGTTGAGGAAAACTGGGACCACCTGGTCCACAGGAGGCTCACTTGCCCCCAGGTGCTCTGAGGAACCAGCCTTTCCACTTGGTTGTCTTGCTTCAAAGCCTGGAGCTAATCCATTCTGAAAGCTTCAAAAGTGGGAGGAGGTTGGAGATTGGTATTAAAGGTGTGGGCTGGAGCCCTCTGAGGGAATTCATTGTGGCTTTACTGGAAGAACGGGTCCAGGGTAAACTGCTTGGCCATTGCAGCAGGCTTGACCAGCAGACAACTCCCACCCACTTCTCCCAGCAACACAGAGAATTGGAAGACAGAGAAATCAGTAAAGAGAAAGACAATTTAACAACAGAAATGACTGACCGCCATGTGAGGTATTCAGAATTACTGTGCACATTCTTTTTAAGAGCACATGGAACATATTTTTTAAAGGTCTCAACAAACGTCAATAGATTTAAATCAAACTGACTACAGTGTGATTAATCCAGAAATAAATAAAAGAGCTACAAAAATATTCCAAATGAGTAAAAATTAAGCAAAGCACTTCCAAGAAACCACAGGACAAAGATGAAATCATAAGAGAAATTTTTAAATAACAAATGCTGAAATCAATTATCTTTTTATCTCAAAAATTAGGTACAAGCTGAATGCAATGGCACGTGCCTGTAATCCAAGCAGCTAAGGCAGTTAAAGCAGGAGGATCACAAGTTCAAAGCCAGCCTCAGCAATTTAGTAAAGCCCTAAGTAAATTAGAGAGATCTTGTCTCAAATAAAACATAAAACTGGGCTGGGGATGTGACTCAGTGGTTAAGCACCCTGGGTTCAATCACCAATACCAAAAGAGAGAGAGAGAGAGAGAGAAGTTAGGTTAAAAAATAACAAGCTAGAGCAGTGGAGCACACCTGTAATCCCAGCAGCTCAGGAGGCTGAGGCAGGAGGATCTCTAGTTCAAAGCCAGCCTCCGGCGATTTAGCAAGGCACTAAGCAACTTAGAGAGACCCTGTCTCAAAATAAAACATCAAAACAACACTGGGGCTGTGGCTCAGAGGTTAAGTGACTGGTACCAAATAAATAAATACAATAAAAAAGAAAGACAAAGAAAAAGAATGACAAATAAGAAAGTAGTAGGAATAAAATTATTTAGTTTAGAACAGAAATAATAAATAGAAATAAACATAAAATATAAAACGTTAACAAAGTGCCCAATTTTGGAATAAACTAATAAAGTTGATATGCCCTGATGATTAAGCAAGCATAGAAAGAGGCAAAAATAGCCAATATAAGCCAAGGAAAAGTGAACATAACTACAGATCCTACGATAAAGTTAAAGAATATTATAATTTCATAGCAATAAAAATTTAGATGAAATGGGAAAATTCCTAGAAAATTGAACATCAAATTTCTCAGAAGAAATAGAGAATGTCAATAATTATACGTATATTAAGTAAATTGAATCTAGAGTTTTCAAACAAAACTTCAGGCTCACATGCATCATCAATGAATTCTACCAAACATTCAAGGAAGAAATAGCATTAAATCAAAATCTTTAAGAGAATAATAAAAAAGGGAGTACTTACTTCTCAGCTTATTTTATGAGACCAACATAAACTTGATCTCCCAAACTTAAAAGGACATTATAAAAACGGAAACCAGAGATCATCTTATCTGTTCTATAGATGCAAATGTCCAAAGCAAAATATTAGGAAATGTATTCATTACATTAAAAAAGGTAACACATATTGGGGAAATATCTGGAAATTTTATTCCAGATATGCAATGTTGAATTTTCATTTAAATATTAATAGAAGAAAATTTCTTAGATATCCTCAATTTAATTACAAGAGCCAGCAGATGGAAGGGAGGTGAGATAAGGTTATCAGCTAACATCTGTGGGTTGAAACCAACAAAAGACTGTTCCACATTCCTGAGTAAATATTGAAAACTTGGCTCAGAATTCAGGTGGATGAACCCCTGGGTACCATCACATCCTGCCTATGATCTCAATCAATCCAGAAGCCACAAATACTCCTCCTAATGGATTGTTCTCTAAACCCTAAACTCTCCCAACTTTGAGTTATCCCACCCTTCTTTTCTATGGCCAATGTAGGCTCAATGTAGACATCTTATGCTTTTTTTTTTACCCTAATTTTCATTATAAAAGTGTTCTTAGCTCTAGGTCCAGCAGACATCTTTTGAACTATCAATACTTGACCGGCTACTAATAGTTCTGGAAACATATAACGCCTGGACCTGAACCTATTCTGGTTAACATCTGTAACAACTAAATAAAACCTTTCATTTCAGTGATTCCCCAGTCGCAACGAGTTTTGGTTTCACAATATTTTTATCATTAATCATGTAAATAGAATAAAAAGAAAACTCATATAATCAGTCCACTAGATACAGACAAAGCATTGATTAAGTCAAGATCTATTCACAAGAAGAATTCTTAGTCAATTAGGAATTGGAGAGAATTCTACCTGATAAAAACTACCTTAAAACACAACAACACTACTCTATTACAACATCATACTTGGTGAAAAGTTGAAAGTTTTGCTGCTGGGATTAGGAAACAAATATCAATGTTTGCTATCATCATTTCTATTCTGAGTCATACTGGGGGTCTCAGCAAATAAAATAAAAGTAAAACTGCAAAATATATAAAAGAAGAATAAAATGCTTCATATTAAAAACAAACAAACATGAGAAACTGGGCATGGTAGTATACACCTGTTGTCCCAGCAACTTGGGAGGCTGAGGTAGGAGAATCACAAGTTCAAGGCCAGCCTAGGCAACTTAGTGAGACCCTGTCTCAAAATAGAAAAATCGTAAAAAAAAAAAAAAAGGTTTGGGGTGTAGCTCAGTGGTAGAGTAACCTTGGGATCAATCTCTATTGCCACCAAAAGAGAGAGAGAGAGAGAGAGAGAGAGAGAGAGAGAGAGAGAAAGAAGTTGATAAGGTGATTATAGATAATTAGATAATTATAATATACTGCATATTTAAAAACTATTACACAAATTTTTTATTTTGATTATACACACACACACATATATAAAACCAGAGATTGAACCAAGGGGCACTTAACCACTGAGCCACATACCCAGCCCTTTTTATTTTTTGAGACAAGTTCTCTCTAAGTTGCTTAGGGCCTTGCTCAGTTACTGAGGTTGGCTTTGAACTTGTAATCCCCATTCCTCAACCTCCTGAGCCATATTTTTATTTTCATTCAATATTTTTGTTTCTCTTGAGAATTCCTATTTGGTCCATGATCCATGAATTATTGAAAAGTGTGTTGTGTGGTTTCCAAATGTTGGAAGATTTTCCTGTTGTATTTCTGTTGTTGATTTCTAGTTTGATTCCGTTGTGATCAGAGATACATTCTGTATGACATAACTTTACTTATTTTAAATTTGAGATTAACTTTACCATCCAGGATGCCATCTATTTTGGTTCCATGGTTATTTAAAAATAATGCTTTGTCTGCTGTTATTGCCCAAAGCACCATATTCTACATGTGTTTATTAGATCCCTGTGTTGGAATTCTGCAGAGAAAGAGAACCAAGAGTATATACAGAAAAATAGAAGAGGACATTGATTATGGGAATTGGCTCATGTATTAGGGGGCCAAGAAGTCCATGATTCCATCTGTGCCCCAGAGAACCAGGAAAGCTGGTGGTGTAATTCAGTCTGAAGCCTGAGAAATATAAGAACCGAGGGTACAACTCTCAGTCCAAGGTCAAAGTCCTGAGAACCCAAGGGCCGCTGGGGTAAGTCCTGGAGACTAACGGCCTAAGAACCAGAAACTCCAATATTTAAAGAATGGAGAAGACAGAGGTCCCAACTCAAGAAGTAAGAGCTTTCTCCACCTGTTCAGGCCTTCAATAGACTTGATGACACCTGCTCTCATTGGTGAGAACAGATCTGTACTCAGTCAACTGATTCAGAGTCCAATCTTTCCCAGCAGCTCCCTCATAGACACACTCAGCAGGGACAGAACATATACCCCAACAGCACATCCCCAGTGATCCACCCTTTCCAGCATCACCCTACCTACCTCCAGTCTCCACCTAGTTGATCCATTAAGGTTGATTAATACACTGATTAGGTTAAGGCTCTTGTAACACAATCACTTCACCTCTGAACTTTCTTGCATTGTCTCACATATGAGTTTTGGGAGATACCTCATATCTAAACCATAACAATAAATAATAAATAAAGGAAGGCTGAATTAATCTCCAGGATGTATAAAGAATTTTTAAAACACGAAAAAAAAAATGTCCCAATCAAAAAATGGGCAAAGGCGCTGAACAGAAGAAATAAGACTGGTCAACAAATTTATGAAAAAAAATGTTCCACATCTCTAGCAGTTAGAGAAATGCAAATTAAAACTACACTGAGATTTCATCTCACTCCAGACAGAATGGAAATTATCAAGAATAAAAGTAACAATAAATGTTAATGAGGATGTGGGGAAAATGCTCACTCATACATCGTTGGTGGGACTGCAAATTTGTGCAACCCCTCTGGGGCGCAGTATAGAGATTCCTCAGAACACTTGGAACGGAACCACCCTCTGACCCAGTTATCCCTCTCCTCACAGAACCAATGCCAAAAAACCAAGGCCAAATGACTTCTCTAATACGCAGATGCTAACACACAATAAGGAGGTGGGGTGGGAAAGAACAGAAGGACTTTGGATTGGACAAAGGGGAATGGAGGGAAGAAGGAAAAATAGGAATAGGAAAGATGGTAGAAAGGATCGGACATTACTATCCTATGTTCATATGTGAACACAAGACCAACGCAACTCCACATCACATACAACCAGAAGAATGGAAGTTGTACTCCATGTGTGTATAATATGTCAAAACACACTCCACCACCATGTATAACTAAAAATAACAAATAAAAAATGTTAAATTCAACAAAAAGGGAAGACTGAGGGAAATATTTGCAATACATATGACAAACCAAATGTCATTTTCCCTAATATACAAATTGAAGAGAAAATGACAAACATTTCAATCGAAAAGATCTGCACAAGCAGTTCTCAGAGAGTAAATGCAAATAGTCAGTAAATAGAAATACTTCAAATGTGCTGAGAATAGATTTTAAGTGTTCCCAACACAAAAAATAAGTATGTGGGGCGATGGATATGGCAATTACCTTGATTTTGTGATTTCACAATGTATGCATGTACCAAAATATTACGTATATACTGTGCACAATATAATACTTTGATACATGTATACATTGTATAATCACTAAATATAAATTCATATATATAAATTTTTTTCAATTATAAAAATATTTTATGAATCAAGATGATCAATATCACTAGAATGAACAGAAAGAAACCTAAAAAGAACATTAAGGCATAGCTAGAGTGAAAGAGGACATAAAAATGACCAAAATGTTTGAGAAAGTGCCAGATAGAATACCTAGAAACCAAACCTGTAACTGCAGTGAAGCAAAAACAAAGAAACTATTTGACTAACAAAGGATTGCTCAAGAAAACAGCAGTGGAAGCCTGAAGACTGCAGAATATTGGGCTCTTAGAAAACAACTGCTAACTCGGCTCAGAATACAGAGTGAAGCCCTCTCTCTCTCTCTCTTTTTAAGAATAGGAACAAACAAAAGTTATTTCAGACAGCAAAAAATGGGAGTGCTAACCACCCACAAGTCCTCACCAAAGGGACTTCTAAAGAAAGTCCTTTAGGGAGAAGAAAAAATCATTCCAGAAAAAAGTCAAAGGTGCAAGAAAGTGTACTGAATTGGTTCAAACTCTTTGGGAAACAGTTTGCCATCAGCTCAAGAAGTTGAAGAGACACACACCCTGTGACCCAGCTACTCCAATCCCAGGTACATAACCTACGGGAATCCCTGTCCCTGTACCCCTGCGAGCACAAGCAAAATATTCATAGCATCTTTTTAAAATATTTTTATTTTTTTAATTGTAGTTGGACAATACCTTTGCTTTATTTATTTATTTATTCTTATGTGGTGCTGAGGATCAAACCCAGGGCCTCGCATGCGCTAGGCGAGCTCTCTACTCTTGAGCCCCAACCCCAGCCCTACAGCATCTTATTCTTAATAGTTGCAAATTGGAAACAATCCAGACAGTCAAATAGATAGATTGCATAGAGTCATAGAGCAGATGATACAACAACAAAAATCAATGACTTACAGCTACATGGATCAGTGTGGATGGAACTCATAACATTGAACACAAAAAGCTATGCCCAGAAGAACACTTTCCAAATGGCTCCTATTATATAAAACACAAGCATATGACGTTAAAAAAGGAACATTTTAAAAATACATACTTCAATTCTAAAAATATAGAAAAGAAGAGCAAGACTTTGTTATCATCAGCTTCCTCGGGAGGATGGGAAGGGTTGTGACTGGGAAGGAACAAGCCAGGGACTTCTAATGTTCCAGATCTTGTTTTACTTGACCTCAGTTAATGAGTGGTCACTTCACAGTAGTTTGTTAGATCAAACACTAATGTTTAATGCATATTTTATTTTTATATCTTTTTCATAATACTTTTGCAAAAAGAAAAAGCATCTTTTCCTGTTTTCTTTCATTTGCACAAATGGAACTAGTCAGTCCGGAAGCCATCAGATGGGACAGATCAAGGTAGGCATCTGCCCCAAGGGGAAAGAAGCCATGGTGCCCCCGTGTGGGCGTCAGAGCCATGATAGGAGAAGGGCATCTCTGTAGAAGGCTGCTGGAACCTGAGTTAGGTAGGAGACTGCCCAGTGGAGGGGTGGGGAGCAGCACAGTTTGGTAAGAAAGGCATCCACCTCAGTGGGCTGGGGAAGGTGCTCGTGCAGGGAAACAGCCCAGGGAGGAATCCAAGCCCTGGAGCCACCTCAGGAAGTTGTTCCCATGGACAGAGGCTTGGCTGTGGGCTTGGTTGTGAAGGAGGAAGTCCATGTGAGAGTTCAAGACCCTGGACACGGTTAAAAAAAAAAAAAAAACTTGAGCAGGGTGACAAGGGGTGTCCATTCCTGAAGCCGACAGACATAAAGAGTCAGAGTCCAAGGAGACTGAGGAGGACATTCAGAGGTTAGAGTGGCCTGCCATGAGAAGTCACAGCCAATGAGGAGAGGTTCCCCAAGAATCGGTCTGCCTGAGACGGAGCAGATTGAAGAGGTACCAATGTGTAGGAGCAACCCAACGTGGCTGTCGGAGCCCAGGTAAGGTGCGGTGGGCATCTGCAGGGCAAGTGTCCCAATGTTCAGTCGTCTGAAACAGGGTGGTTTTATATTTTCTCAGAAAAAAAAAATATATATATATGGTATATACACACACATATACATAAACATCATTTTTTAATTCAAAAGGGAGCGATAATGATGGGATATATCATTGATCATAGTTGCTCATTCCATCCTTCCTTTTTTAAAATTTTTTATTGTTGGTTGTTCAAAACATTACATAGTTCTTGACATATCATATTTCACACTTTGATTCAAGTGGGTTATGAATCCATCCTTCCTTTAAGGAGATTAGGTCCCTGCCCGTTGCCTTGTGATTTCCAGAATCTCTTGATGTAAGCCAGGTGGGTCTCTGCCAGCTCCACTGTTGCTTGCCCTCTGCCATGTGAGGGAGCCAGGCAGGAGCTGCTCCTTCAGCCCCCTCCTGGAACAGAGAGGTGGACGACGGGAACCAAGATTTCTTGAACAAGAAAAATATTGTGGCAAGTCTTGGAGAGCTTAAAGCTACTTGTACCCCAAACAAAAGCAAAGCTAATAAAAGAGCAGTGGATGCTCATTATTTCTGGTAGTTATGTTCTCTAAAGTCACCAAATCAGCAAATACTGAGCCATTGCTCCTGGGAGAAAATACCAGGGTTAGCCTCCTTTAAGCCTCCAGTCACCTTTTCATAAACTGGTTGATGCACAACCTTGTTCTATGTGTGCTTCTGTTTGGTTGGTTCGTTTTATGGTACCAGGGGTTGGGGCAGTCTTCCACTGAGATACCCACCCCCAGCCCTTTCTATTCTTTATTTTGAGACAGGGTCCTGCAAAATTACTGAGGTTGGTCCAGAACCTGTGATTCTCCTGCCTCAGCCTCCCTGGCCCCAGGGGATCACAGGTGTGTGCCACCATGCTTGGCACATGCTTCTATTTAAAGAACTGTGTTTTTAAAATGTTGTTTTATAAACATTGAATCGTGACCAGCAGTACTATCACTTGTGGCTGAATGACGCTCATCTAACACATGTGTTTTCTTGGTAAGGCACATCACAGTCATCTTGCTCTTAGAAACACAAGTTAGCACTTCTGCACCACCCTTGGGGGCCATTTTGAACAGTGAAATCACCAATAAAAAACACAAAAATGTGAAAAGTGCAGCACTAACTAGGCTGTAAAAGGGCCCCTGGTTTAGAGTTTGAATTGAACCAAGGATTCACCTTCAGGTGGGAATGTGCGTGTTGGGTGACTCTGAGTGACGGATTTTAGCAAGTAGGTGAATTTGCAAGTACAGAATTCGAGAGTAAGAAGAACAGACCATAGAAAACTCAAGATTGTAGAAATGAATCCACATATGTCATAAATACCAATAATAAATGTCAATTAATAGGCAAAAATTGCCAGACAGCATTTTTTAAAAATGTAGATTGATGCTATTTAAAAGACAAAAGATATGTACTTGAGATGGCTGAATGCAAAAAGATGGGAAGAAAGCCTAAGCAAATGCGAATAAAAAGAAAAGTATAGTTAGATTAATATCAGGTAATAAAAAACTGATAAAGATCAATTTGAGAGAGAGAGAGATGGGGGATCTCTAGATAATAATGAAAGATTTAATTCACTGGGAATGCATTTATATTTACCTAAATCAATAGAATCAGGATATATGGTAAGCACTGAAGCAATTATAGGCATAATTCAAGAAATCCATGGTCATGTTGAGAGCCCTCAACATTCTCAATTATGGATAAGTCAAAAGGACAAAAAATTAGAGAGATTTAAAATATTTTAGCAACACATTATAGAGCTGTACAGGGAGTGCTCCAAACTCAGCATTTAGAGACTAGCTATTGGAATGTAGATAGCTGTGCAGCAGTTATTTAGAAGGTAAATTTCTTTAGAGAAGCTTACGCACATGCTCTGGCTGGGTTTAGGGAAAGATTTATCAGCCAGACCTATGGAGCTAGTTGTCCTTCTCGAGGTCTTCTGTTCAGGCTCAAAGCACATTCCTGGTTGACTGGCCATGCAGCAGATCACACTATGCCACTGGGACGAAGAGTTGTGAACAAGCTCTCAACCATTAAAACAGGGACTGGGATTGGGTGTTCTCCAAGTTGGGGAGCAGTCAGTGGTTGCAGAATTTAGCAGAGTCTTAGTGGGGCCTCACCCGTAATTTCTGCCCATAATTTCTAAAAGCCGTAACCTGGAAATTCACACTGCTCTCCTAGTTCCTTTCAAGTGCAAAATGCTTCTCAGTTTACTACAAGGAGAAACCTCTGCCATCTGGAAAGTCTGGGCCAAAAGGTAGGTTCTGGATGGTATGGATTTTTAACAATGTCTAATCGTTCAACCCATGAACGCGGGCTATCTTTCCATTCACTCCTGTTCTTCAGTGTCTTACGTCAATGTTTTATAGTTTTCAGTACACAGATCTTTCACTGTTTTATTTAAAGTTACTCATCAATATGTTTTTGTGGCACTGTAAATGAGATTATTAATTTCTTTTTCAGATAGCTTATTGTTAATGTATAGAAACACTGCTGATCTTTGCATGTTGATTTTGTATCCTGTAACTTTACTGAATTCATCTATGAGTTCTTTTTTTAAAATATATTTCTTTTTTAGGTGTAATTGGACACAATACCTTTATTTTATTTATTTATTTTTATGTGGTGCTGAGGATCAAACCCGGAGCCTCGCACATGCTAGGCGAGTGCTCTACCGCTGAGCCACAACCCCAGCCCCATCTATGAGTTCTAATAGCTTTTTTTGGTAGAATATTTAGGGTTTTCTATAGAAGAATCATGTTATCAGCACACACATTATTTCAGTTCTTCCTTTGTTATTTGGATAATATTTATTTATTTATTTATTTCTACTAATTTCCATGGCTAGCACTTCCTGTAGCATGTTTTTAAAAAGGTGAGAGTAGGCATTTTTGTCTTATTCCTAATCTTAACAGAAAAGCTTCCAGCTGTTCACTGACGAGTGTGATCCTAGCTGTGACGTTGTGCTATGTAGACTACTGGGTTAAGGTACATTCCTTCTCTAACTAACCTATTGAGATCATAAAAAGATGCTGAATTTTATCAAATGCTTTTTCTACATCCACTGAGATTATCACATGGTTTTCCCCTGCATCCTATTAATATGGTGTATTACATTCATTGTTTTTTGTAGTGAATGATACATTTTTAAATTAATTTTTATTTTATAACTAACATGATATTTGTACTTATTTATGGTTATAATATTATAATTTGATATGTGTATACAATGTATAATGATCAAATCAGGTTGAGTAATTATCTCCTCTAATATCATTTCTATGTGTTGAGAAACTTCAAGGTCTTCCTTTCTAGTTATCTTCAAATGTTTAATTAATTGTAGTTATTAGTTGCCCTACTGTGCTCTAGAACATTAAAGCTACTAACTGTATTTTGATCCCATTATTCACTCTCCCTCCATCTTCTCTCCCCATACTCTTCCTTAACTCTAGTGACATCTAGTCTACATTCAACTTTAATGAGATCAACTTTATTTTACTGATTGATTGATTGATTGATTGTGCTGGGGATTGAATCCAAGGATGCTCTACCACTGAGCTACATCCTCAGCACTTCTTATTTTTTTTTATTTTGAGATGAGATTTCACCAAGTTGTGAAGCCTGGCCTCAAACTTGTGATCCTCTTGCCTCAGCCTCCTGAGTGGTTGAGATTATAGGCATGTACCACCTCACCCACTTGATCAACTTTTTTAGCTTCTACAAATGAATGAGAACATGTGGTATTTGTCTTTCTGCAGTTAGGTCCTTTCACTTAACATACCATCCTCCAGTTCTATCCACGTTGTCACAAGTCACATGATTCATCTTTGTATGGCTGAATAATATTGGGTTGTGCATATATAACATATTTTTGTTTTAATTAGTTATACATGACAGTATTTTTATCCATTCACCTATCAAAGAATATCTTGGTTGATTCTAAAACTTGGCTATTGAGAATAGTGTGGCCATAACGTGGGTGTGCAGGTCTCTTTTTGATGTAATGACTTCATTTCCTGTGGACGTACACCCCATAGTGGCACTGCTGGGTCACCTGGTGGTTCTATTTGTTTTCTGAAGAATCTCCATGTTATTTCCACAATGGCTGCACTGATTTACATTCCCACCAACAGTGTGTAAAAGCTCTCCTTTTTCTATATCCTTACCAGAATTTGTTATTTTTGATATTTTTTTCACAATAACAGTGGATAATTCTTTCAATGTGTCACTGAATTTGCTTTCCTAATATTTTGTTGAGGATTTCTGTATCTATGTTCATCAGGCGCATTGGACTATGCTTTTTATTTTCTTCAAGTGTCTTCTCCTTGCTTTGGTATCAAGGTGATGCTGGCTTCATAAAATGAGTTTGAAAATACTCCTGCCATGTCAACTTCTTTGGAAGAGTTTGAGAAGGATTGGTCCGCGTTTCTCCTTTGCTGTGTTTAGTGGAATTCAGCTTTTGAGCCCTTGGGTTCTGGAATTTCCCTTAATGGGTTCTGGGATTTCCTTTGACTTGATCTTACTGGTTTAATCTCCTTATTCATTGTAGGACTATTCAGATTTTCTATTTCTTCATGATTCAGTCTTGATGTGTTTCTAGAAATTTACCTATTTCTTTTAGGTTATCCAAATTGTTAGCAAATTATTATTCAGTCTTTATCAAAGTTCCAAGGACACTTTTCTCAGAAATAGACAAAACAATCCTAAATTTTTTAAGTTGCCACAAAAGACCCAGTACAACAGAGACACAGCCACATCAACGTTTATTGCAGCACAATTCACAATAGCTGAACTGTGGAACCAACTTAGATGCCCTTCAGTGGATGAATGGATAAAGAAACTGTGATATAGATACATAATGGAATATTACTTAGGATTCAAAGAGAATAAAATCATGGCATTTGCAGGTAAATGTATGAAGCTGGAGAATATAATGCTAAGTGAAGATAGCCAATCCCCAAAAAATCAAAGGCCGAATGTTTTTCTCTGATACAAGGAGGCTGATTCATAGTAGGGTAGGGAGGGGAGCATGGGAGGATTAGATGAACTCTAGATAGGGCAGAGGGGTGGAAGGGGAAGGGAGGGGGCATGGGGTTAGAAATGATGGTGGAATGAGATGGACATTATTATCCAAAGTACATGTATGAAGAAGACACAAACGGTGTGACTCTACTTTGTATATAACCAGAGATATGAAAAATTGTGCTCTATATGTGGAATAAACATTCACACACACACACACACACACACACTAAAAATTATAACTGGATACCCTCAATTGTTTGGAAGTCCTGTTCATCTGTGTCCCCCTCCATGTCCCCCCAGGAGCCCTGCTTCTACTAATAGACTGTGGGCTCATCTGACCGGTAATTCTCAAGACTCAGTGAATAGTGTTATCTAGGTTAAATTTCAAACCAAAAGTACGACTTGATCATGAGAACTTAAGAGACACAGGGCCTCTTGTCTGATCTCTCAGGGGACTGAAGAGATGGCACGGTTTCTGACTAGGGAACTCAAAAGCTGAAAGAGCCGTGGGTACTATTGGGCCAATCACTACTTCATTGTTATTTGTTTCCTGTTGAACATATATTAAGCACTGACCATACGCCAGTTACCATGATTTGCTACAATAGTTCAATTGATGCTCATGTCTAAGAGGCAGCTTTTGTTATTATTATTTCCCTTATGAAAAGTTGAGGCTTAGTGACAGGCCAGACCCCACGGGTGGGAGTGGCTGGATCTGGGACGTGAACTCAGGTCCAAGTGCAGGCATCAACTTTTCTACCATCCTGTATTGCTGAGTTAAATTTTCATCCTTTCTCATCTTAATTCCCACAGTAAAAGCAAAGTTTCCAGGTTAGTTGTATTATTTTCATTTTCCATATGAGGAAACTAAGGATCCAAGATATGCTGTAGTTAAAGTGACCAAAGCCAAGATCACTGGTTTGGGGTTGTGATCACCACTAATGAAGAGTCCAGGAACTGTTGTAGAATTGAGGGAAGATAATTCTGAGGAGGAGGGAGCAAAGGTGGATACGGTGACATGTCTTCACTTTAGTCACCACATAATATGGCTTCAGGATGCTGGAAGATCTCTGCATAGCTTCCTCAAGATCTGATTCCATGTATAAATGAGGCACACAGAATAAATGGCATAAAGATCAGTCTCTCTCTCTCTCTCTCTCTCTCTCTCTCTCTCTCTGATTTTGAAATGTGTTCTCTCCAAGAGTTACTACAGTAAGATGCTGTTAGTTCTTCACATCTTAAAATAAAAAACACACTTAGATCTTGAAAAGACATATGGAAAATGAGGGTTTGAGTGAGCAGGAGAAGATTATCCACTTACCAGGTTGTCTAGGAGTATCATAGGAGCTAAGCCTTGGAATGCCCCAGAAGGAATAAGCGGGTTATTTTTGTTAACTTATGGCCATCTGGGATCATTTTTACTTCTGAGATCCAAGACCCAGCAGGGTCTGCTCAGGCCTTCCAGAAAATCTCTTGCTTATTTCTGTCATCAGTGGAGAAGAAAAGGTGCTCACCAGTGTCAGGGGTTGCCCAAGGAATGACTGTGTGCAAATCAACGCCACAACTGTTCCAAACAAATCCTTTAATCACTCAGGTGTGGCCTTTCACCCAGGAGAAACAGAGTGGACAGGTGTCTGGGTAGGACAAGGCGCAGCACCGTGGCAGAGTATGAGACACCCGGGGAGAGTTCTGGAATGGAATGTCTAGGCCTGCCCCCGTCCCAACGGGCTCCTTTTTCTTATGTGAGAACTAAGGGATTCTGGGGGATCCCCTGGAAGGCTCCTCTGCACACTTTGTGCCTCCTCTGGATCATGCCTAACTCGGATCCCTCTTCTCTCACACATCTGTCTTTCTCTCCACAGCTCCACCTTCTCTTGGAGGAATGTAGCTCTCCTGCTTCTTCTCCCTCTCTCTTTGGAGCAGACTTCTGCATCGCAGTCCAACAAGATCAAAGGTGGGTTCAGAACAGCTGCCGCCATTTTCCTGTGAGAGGCATTCTTGGAGGCTGAGGTTGGGTGCAAAGCTAGTGTCAGCTGAGGTCATCCCTACTGTGGATTCTGAGCCATCACTCTAAGCTCTCCAGATCCTCCCCTGCCTGTTCTCCCCAAATTATTTCCCTAACTTTTCCCAAAATAAGTCTTCCAGGTTTTTTTTAAATTTATGAGTCACTGTGCATGAGCCTGAGAGGAGAGGATCAGTGAGGACATGGCTGCAGTCTTGGGGAAGAGAGAGTGAAGTCAGGGGTTGAGTCAAGGGAGTGCGGTAAAGAAGGAGAAAAGGTCGATTTTAAGGAGACTGGAGACAAAATTGGCCAAAAGCCATGATGGACAGGATGCTGGGGTGATGGGGGAGGATATGCACCCAGGGTAAGTTGTTGGGGACCACCCTGAGCAGGAGCTATGCACACACCGCGAAGTCCTGAATAAAGAGGTACTGGACTGGCATTGCACCCTGCAGGGCAAGGGGACTTGCCTCCGCTCAGATAGCGAGGTGTAGCTCTGGGATTGGACATTACCCAATTGGAGGGGGCTGCCCCTTGTTCCTTGGTAATCCTACACATTTGGCCCTTTTTTTGGATGAATGTTCTTTCGAACAGCCTCCCCAATGAAACCCAGGTTCAAGGCATGTCTCTTTATTGCCCGCCTTGCCTCCTTTGTGGGAGCTGGGTCAGAGGGGCCCCCGTCCCAGAACCCAAAGAAAAAGGTATTTCTCTGTCTTTGTGTGATTATTTCGTGCCAGCCCAGTTCTCCTGGAGTGACCCTGACTGATTTAGTCGTGTGTCGGGGCAGTAAGTGGCTAAGAAGAGCTGGCCAGGGAGGGAGGGGGTTCTATTCTATGTAAAGAACTCAAGCTGATAATCAGGAGAGGAGCCCAATGTCCAAAACCCAAGCAAAGGTTTAAATGGCTGCTGGAAGCCGGGGAACCAACTCTAGTGAGATGATTGGCTTTACCTCCTAATCCCAAGGTTTCCCTTTCTACTTCTCTTTACCCTTTTGAGGTCTCCATATTTAATTTGCCAAACTCTTTCTGTGCCCAAATCTTGAGCAATGGTCCCCAAGTGGTAGCTTATCCCATGGTTCCTACCAACTTGCCTTAGGATTACCCAGGGGGCTTTCTAAAAATTGGGGTCAGAGGCTGTTCCACTCCTCGGTTTATAGCCAAAGGACTTAAAAACAGCATACTACAGGGACGCAGCCACATCAATGTATATATAGCAGTTCAATTCACAATAGCTAAACTGTGGAACCAACCTAGGTGCCCCTCAATAGATGAATGGATAAAGAAAATGTGGTATGTATACTCAATAGAATATTACTCAGCTTTAAACAAGAGTGAAATTATGGCATTTGCCAGTAAATGGTTGGAGTTGGAGAAAACATGCTAAGCGAAATAAGCCAATCCCATAAAACCAAAGGCCGATAAATGTTTTCTCTAATATACGGATGCTAATTCACAACAAGGTGGGGGAGGGCACTAGGGAAGAATAGCGTTACCTTAGATTAGGTAGAGGGAAGTGATGGGAGGGGAAGGGAGGGGATGTGGGGATAGGAAAGACAGTAGAATGAAGCAGACATTATTGCTGTATGTACATATGTGACTGCATGACCAATGTGATTCTACAACATGTACACTCAGAAAAATGAGAAATTATATCCCATCTTTGTATGATATATCAAAGTGCATAAATGCATCCTACTGTCATGTGTAACTAATTCAAACAAATTAAAAAAACTTTTAAAAAATAGCTAAATTGTGGAATCAACCTAGATGCCCTTCAGTAGATGAATGGATAAAGACACTGTGGTACATATACACAATGGAATATTACTCAGCATTAAAAGGGAATAAAATCATGACATTTGCAGGTAAATGGATGGAGTGAAGAATATTATGCTAAGGGAAGTAAGCCAATTCCAAAAAACTAAATGCCAAATATTTTCTTTGATATGAGGATGCTGATCCATAATGGGGATGGGGGTGTCATGGGAGGAATAGAGGAACTTTAGATAGGGCAAAGGGGAGGAAGGGGAAGGGAGGGCACAGAGGGGTAGGAAAGACAGTGGAATGAGATGGACATCATTACCCAAGCACATGTATGAAGACACGAATGGTGTGACTCTACTTTGTGTACAGCTAGAGACGTGAAAAATCATGCTCTATGTGTGTAATATGAATTGAAATGCATTTTGCTGTCATATATGATAAATTAGATGAAATAATTCTTTTTTAAAAAAGGGAAAAAAATTAGGGTCAGTAGGCCTTACTTTCTAGAGATTCCGATTTCAGTCCAGAGTCCTTATTTACTTAAAGATACACAGAGAGTTTTGATGTACACTCCAGATCAGGAACCATGTACTCTTCTTAGCTTTGAGCCATCCTTGGAGGGTGCATTTAGAGAGATGTGATGGGTAAGACTAGCTGAAGAATGCTAAAAGTCTCAGTGGCCCATCCTTGGGGAAGATGTGGGGCTTCTGAGGTGAGTTCTGGGTTGAGAATCCTGGGCCTGTCACTGAGTCACTGAAGCATCCTTTTTGACCTCATTTTTTTTTTTTTAGCTAGGAAATCAGGACGGTGGTATTAAAGTTAAATATGGTCCTTTGAATTCTAAACTTCTATAATTACAAGACCCAGTCCTGTCTAAAAAGATCATATGTCTCTGATTAGGTTCCACTAGAGACATGCTCCATCTCTAGCACTGTATTAGTGCCTGTTGCTGCAGAGCCCACTGTAGGTCATCAGTCTGGCCTGGTGCGCCGGGGTTTTCTGCTCTGATTCTCGTCAGGCTGAGACCAAAGTGTCAGACAGGGCTGCCGTTCTCAGCGGGGACTCAGGGTCCTCTCCCTAAGTGCACTGATTGTTAGCATAACCCTGCTCTTGCCATTTTAGGATGGAAGCTCCGATTTCCTGACTGGTTGTCAACTTCTAAAGGCCACCTTCATTTATTGGCACTTGACCTCCATTATGTTCAGAGCTAGCAATAGTAGGATGGCTCCTCCTCACAGTCTCAATCTCTGTGACCTCTTCACTCCCAACCTTCTTCTTTTAAAGGACCCAACTGACTGGGTCTGACCCACTTGGATAATCTCTGTCTCTTAAGGTCAACTAACTTTGAACTTCACCTACACATGCAGAATCCTTTCACGGCAGTGCCTGCATCAGTGTTTGATTCAGTAACCAGAGGACTGGAATCTTACGGGTGCAACTTTGGAAACCTGTCTATTGCAAGCACTTAAATCAGCATCCATACTTATCCCTAAAAAGGGAGTAAGCAACCACATATCTGTAGAACTCTTACCAGGCTCTGTGATCCGTGTATTAGGAACATCATCCCATTTAATTCTAACTGACCTGTACAGTAAGGATTGCCATTCTCTTTTTTTTTTCTTTTTTTAAAAATTTTTATTGTTGGTTGTTCAAAACATTACATAGTTCTTGATATATCATATTTCACACTTTGATTCAAGTGGGTTATGAACTCCCATTTTTACCCCGTATACAGATTGCAGAATCACATCGGTTACACATCCATTGATTTACATATTGCCATACGAGTGTCTGTTGTGTTCTGCTGCCTTTCCTATCCTCTACTATCCCCCCCCCCCTCCCCTCCCCTCCCCCCCCCTCTTCTCTCTCTACCCCCTCTACTGTAATTCATTTCTCCCCCTTGTATTTTTTTCCCTTTCCCCTCACTTCCTCTTGTATGTAATTTTGTATAACCCTGAGGGTCTCCTTCCATTTCCATGCAATTTCCCTTCTCTCTCCCTTTCCCTCCCACCTCTCATCCCTGTTTAATGTTAATCTTCTTCTCATGCTCTTCGTCCCTACTCTGTTCTTAGTTACTCTCCTTATATCAAAGAAGACATTTGGCATTTGTTTTTTAGGGATTGGCTAGCTTCACTTAGCATAATCTGCTCTAATGCCATCCATTTCTCACACTTCAGATAGAGCCCTAATATCCAGAGTATACAAAGAACTCAAAAAATTAGACAATAAGATAACAAATAACCCAATCAACAAATGGGCCAAGGACCTGAACAGACACTTCTCAGAGGAGGACATACAATCAATCAACAAGTACATGACAAAATGCTCACCATCTCTAGCAGTCAGAGAAATGCAAATCAAAACCACCCTAAGATACTATCTCACTCCAGTAAGATTGGCAGCCATTATGAAGTCAAACAACAACAAGTGCTGGCGAGGATGTGGGGAAAAGGGTACACTTGTGCATTGATGGTGGGACTGCAAATTGGTGCAGCCAATTTGGAAAGCAGTATGGAGATTTCTTGGAAAGCTGGGAATGGAACCACCATTTGACCCAGCTATTCCCCTTCTCGGTCTATTCCCTAAAGACCTAAAAAGAGCATGCTACAGGGACACTGCTACATCGATGTTCATAGCAGCACAATTAACAATAGCAAGACTGTGGAACCAACCTAGATGCCCTTCAATAGACGAATGGATAAAAAAAAATGTGGCATTTATACACAATGGAGTATTACTCTGCATTAAAAAATGACAAAGCCATTCTCATTTTACAGAGAGGACATTGATGACTCAGACAAAGGAAGAGACTGTCCCAAGATTATTTAGCTAGTTAGTGTTGCAATCAGTCTGCCAATGATGCTCCTCCCACTCCACCATTTCTTCCTGTCTTAGAAGTAGATCAGAATTCCCACCATTGAACTCAGATTGGTCTTGAGTTCACAAGAAGTCAAGGGACCAAAGTCAGGACTCCTGACTCCTATTTCCATGATGTTTCCATGACTCTTTACTAATTTCTTTGATTGCCTCAAATGTTGGAGACAGAGGAGTTAAGCCTTAAAATATTAGGTTTCAAGAAGATTGGGAGCTCCTTAATTTAAAGCAAGGGCCTTTGTCCTTACTGAACCACCTGCCTTTGGGATCTAAGATGCTTTTCCTTCAGTTCTACCTGGGCACAAATTCCGGATTCACCTCCATCTAAATGGGCCAAATGTGGTGAGAGAGACAGCCATGGATCCTAAAAGTAAGCAGAATGAGAACTGGGAATTGAAGGTACAGGATAGGACTGGGACATTTTCATCATTTACCGTTGCCCTGGTAGGAGAAGAGCTTAAACTCCTGGAATGTGAATTTGGACGATTCTTTCTTGTAGTGAAACCTGGAGAGTGCCCCAGAGAGCGGCTCTTCTGTGACATCATGATGCCGGATTTATGCAAATCGGATTTCAACTGCCCAGATTACATGAAGTGCTGCACTTTTGCCTGTGGGAAGAAGTGCATGGATCCATATGAAGGTAGTGGCATTCAGGCTGGGGGCGGAGGTGACTTTTGAGGGTCCCCACTTCTGACTCCATTCAGAAATGGCTGAACAATTCCTTCTGATAGCAGGACAAAGAGTCCCAAGTTTGCATTTTTCTCACTATCCAATTTAACTCTCACCCTTAAGTGTAAGTCATGAGTCTAGGCATGGTGGCCATCAACTAGACAATACTGATGTTTGCCTTCTTGGGTCCAACATTCGATCTTTCATAAACAATTAATACTCTGGTGTGCTCACTGTGTGCTGAGAAACTGTGGTTGGCCCTGTGACAAAATCAAATCTCAGTTAACTTAGGTGCTGGGTTCCTTTCAGACTCTTGGTCTTTTCAAGGAGGTTTCTGGGAACTCATAAGTATTCCTATGCATATCTTATAAGAGTGTGTACATTTGACAGATTCATTTGTTCATCCATTCATTCATTCAACTGGTATTTATGGTCGGTGTCCTTTGGCCAAGACTACCAGGAACATACCTGGAGCTGAACAAGTTGGGTTCATTACTGATTACAGGGAGGGAGAATGTCCACTGTGGATAACCATGTGACATCTCAGTAAGCAACTGCTAGAATGTATTACAGGATTTGGTCTTTGGATGATTTGGGGGAGGGCTTTAGAATCTGTACTGTCAGGAAGTGGGGGCAAAGCTACGGCTTGGCTCCTCAGGGAATCTCATCCACAGAGGGAGCAGGCAGAGCGAGGGAGCTGAAACTGGCAGAGAAGCTCAAGTCACTCACGTTAGGTGGAACAGGGAAGTGTTTGGTATTTTATGAATTTCACAGATATCTTGCTTTCTGTCTCACGTTGTCATGATCTTAGAGTGACTTCATTTGATGCAGATGTCCCATGAGATGTTTTATGTCAACAGGGGAACACAACAGCTTACTGATGGGTTTTCAGACATCAGGGACTATTTTTTCCTTCCTATGTACCAGGTGCTTTGTTAGGCACTTTGGATACAGTTCCTGAACAGGTCCTGGCCTCTCAAAGCTCAAAGCAGTGGAGAAGATCAACTCCAAAGTATCTTCAGATGCCCTTCAAAATCACCTTTGCGAGAAAGAAGTGATGTTAGGAGAATTCAGTGGACAATAGTGGTCGTGGAGCTAGGGCCAGAACCTACTGTTTTTGAGTGTGGCTTTTTTCTGACTTGGATGATAACACCATCAACTATGAAAGTCGGGGGGATCCTATCCCTTCTTTTTATGTTCTTCTCTTTTATGTTCTACCTTTTATGCTCTTCCCTTTTTACACCCTGACCTCAGAACCCTGCATGCTACCCTTTAAAGGAGGAGACTGCAGGATGAGACTGCAGCGTTGGTATTATGACTTTAAAAAACATCAGTGTAGAACCTTTATCTATCATGGCTGCCAAGGGAACGCCAACAACTTCCTCAGGCTGGATGACTGCAAGAAGGCCTGCATGTTAATTGGTGAGACCCACATCCCAGAAACAGAATACCAGCATAGTTACAGCTCAGAGTTGGAGGTGGAACTACCTGGGTTCAAGCCATAGCTCCGTCACTTACTGGCTGGGAGGTCTTGGGCCAATTGCCTGCCTTGCTGAATCTATTTTCTTGTGTACAAAATGGGGATGGTAATAGTATTTATCGAATGGAGTTGTACCTCAAACGACATAGTACCCATAAAGTGCTCACAAATTTTGGCTCATGGGAACCAGGCCTACTTTCTTGGAGAAAGATATTTTCTCATCACATCAACCTATTGAGCATCACCTGGAGGACTCACCCAAGAAGGAGGCATAGACAGGCCATCCTGGAGTCCCAGGGAGTAAGTGAGACACTGAAGGTAGAGAATAGGGTGCGGTGAAGGTGAGAGCTGTGGGTTCCTTCTTTAGTGGAGTGATCATCCGTGGTAATGTTGGGGGACAGAGTCCTACTGAGTTTATGACCTGGACTAAAACCCTGCTTTTCCCACTTAGTGCAGGGGTTTTGGCCTGTGGGAGCTTCAGTTTTCTCCTCTATAATATTGTTACAGTAGCCAACACCTCACCAAATTTTTGGCAGGATGACATATGTTCAAAGACACCAAACCTTGACATGGCAGCTTGTCCAGTGGCATGGGCCCACTAAATGGTACCAATTGAGAGAGATGGTGACCATTCATCAGGATGTGGCACAGTGTGATTTACAAGGCAGCACCAGAATTTCAACCTCACACCATCATCACCAACCCAGAGAGGTAGCTAGCTGCCTAAGAACCCATAATCAGTCAGGAGTAGAGTGCTTTCAATTCCCCACACCCCATGTGCCTGAATGGCCAATGCGATCTTGGGATCTGTCTGGATGGCATCAGAATCAAACATTCCCTGAGTGGGAGGATCTGAGGAATCAGGGTCTATGGACAAGGGCTTGGTCTTTTCTCCCCAGAGCAGCAAGAAGAGGCCATGGGAATGGGTTTGGGCTGGTTTACGGGAAACTTAGGTCCATGCTCAGTGGTAACGTGTACCTCTAAGAGTTGAACGCACTATTGTCAGTCTGACCGGAGACAGAAGGAAAAAAAAAATCTACCCTCATAGACTTGGCCACCAGATGAGACCCACATAAAATCCTAAAGAATTGATTTAAATACCATCTAGGTCCTAATGACTACAAAGCTGTATCTCCAGCCCAAATCTGAGAGCTGCTTCCCCTCTAACAAGGTGTCACCTTCTCAGTCGGGGTGCTGCAACAGCCTGCCCCAGGGTTTCCCTGCTCGATATTCACCTTCTTTTTATAATCACTATCAGCACAGCGGCCACGACAGTCCTTTCAAAACATGAGCCATCATGACATCCTCTATTGAGAACACTACAATACTTCCCATTTCACTCAAAATAAAACCAAACCCCTTCAAAGGGCTTAACTTGATCTGTGTGAACCGGACATCATCAGCCCTATTTTATACAGAAGGATGCTGTCACTTATTTAGTGACCAGACTGAGACTTTATGTTGGGGCTTCAGATGCTGAGCTCAGCATTCTTTCTACCACATTCCAGAATGCAGTGAGAGAGTGGGCAGGGTAAAGTGATCCAAGTTCCAGGGATTCTGGTTTAGAAGAGAAAGAAAATCTGTTTGAAGGGTGGTGGGATGGTGGGGTCTGCAGGTACTCACATCTGCTCTTGTTTTAGTCAAGAAAGGACAGTGCCCACTCTTCCCTTACACCTCTCGAATGGAGTGTCCAAAGCCATGTAAGAGTGACATGGATTGCCTTATGACAGAAAAATGCTGTGACTCCAGGTGTGGTTTTGTTTGTGCCAACCTCTGGCAAGGTAAGGACCAGGGATGGTAAGGACTTTGAGAAGATATACCTCCCAAAGTCCACTGGGCATGGATCAAGGATGCCATGATACCCCATGAAATGGGAGTCTCTTGAACCTCAGCTGCCCCTTCGATTGACCTTGGAGGTATCTGAGGAGATTTCACCTTTCAATGCCCAACCAGTGCTCCCATGTTGACCTCCTGGCCTCTGGACACTATTGTGCTACTCTTCAAAGTCATTACCACACTTGGTAATCACTCTCCATTCTTCCCCAAGAAAATTTATTTGTTATGATCTCATTCTTCCATGACTTGCAAAGTGACAATGTCCATGGATTCACATACATACAGATTCTTAACCACTAAGTATATTCCTGATAATTCACATTCTATAAGAGGATCTGGGGAAAGACTGTTAGCAAATGCTTTGGGGGTAGAAGCCAACTCTCCCACTCCTAAGGCTGGAGGTACCAATTTCCCCACGTAGACCCAGGGATTAGTAGTGCCTGGAGATACCCGTTGTGTGGTTGCAAGAGGCAAAGCTTTTTCAACTGACTTCAACTTTTCAGAGGCTGTCTGTGCGACTTGGCCAACTCACTTCCCCCTATATGATCCTCAATTCCTATAATTCATAAGACAAGGATATTCTGGATCCACCCAAACCCATTAATTCCATAGGGAATACAGGAATCTTATCAGGTTGGACAAGTCTGGGATGATGCTCTTCAAGTTACTAGCCATGGAGAGTGCCTCCCCCACTCAGTGGTGGGAAGGGAAGAGGCTTGATTAGAACAAAATCCTTTATGGTTTTCCTAAGATTCCCCAAATGTGTGTCTAATTATGATGGAGTGTTTCAAGGTCAAGTGTCTTGTTTTTACTCCATAAAGTCAAACCAGGTTTTTGCCCACGTATGCCTCAGATGTGTAACAAGATTAGTAAACCAATGTGCCTGCAGGATAGCGATTGTCCAGAGGGAGAGAAGTGCTGTTCACGCTGTGGACTGATGTGCTTGGCACCCCGGAAATGAACAGTGAGTGGAAAATATTCTCATGGGAAGAGTAATTATGAATAAGCATAATGAAGAGCTCTTTTGTTGATCTTGGACTAACTACCTTACCAGACTGTTATTAAGGGTAACAGTATTTATAGGGTTATTATATGTATCCTATCATGTAGGGTTTTCATATATAATAAATTTATATATAATCATATCATCATAAAATAGTGATAAACTTGGCTCTTCTTTTCTCCAACTTCATGGCTTTGATATCTTGTCTTCTATTGTAGAACTTCTAAAATAATCTTGAAAATAAAGGCAGTGAGGGCCTAAGATTCAGCTCCTTGGCAGAGCATGTAGTTAGCATGCGCAAGGTCCTGCCATCGATCCCACCACCAAAAAAAATAAGAATAAAAGCAATAGTATCAGTTCCTTATTTTAAAGTCAGTGGCTACTGGTGTAGTGTGTGTGTGTGTGTGTGTGTGTGTGTAAGATAAATAGGTTTTATGGCACTTATTTCCTTTTTTAAGGTTTTTTTCTTCTCCATTTTCAGCTGCTACTAGAAACGACTGCTGAATTTTATCAAATACCTTTCAAGCATCTGCTCATATAATGACTGTTCTCTTCTAATTTGTTAGCATAACAACTTATTGAATTGTCATATGTTGAACCATCTTGCATTCTTAGAATAACTTTAATCATATTGCTAATATATTTGCATTCATTTACTGTGGCTTTTTTGGCAAAGAGTTTGTTTAAAATTTTCACTTCTGGTCAAAATAAAAGTAAGTGTTCGTTTGTTTGTTGCTGTTTGGGTCACGGTACTTTCAAAAAACTTGCATGGGCAAAAATCAACTCAGAGTGGATCAAAGATCTAGGAATTAGGCTAGAAACTTCGCAACTAAAAGAAAATGTAGAATCCAGACACCAACATATAGGTGTAGGAATCAACTTCCTTAATAAGACTCCTAAAACTCAATAAATAAAACCAAAAATCATTAAGTGGGATGGCATCAAATGAAAAAGCTTCCGCACAGCACAGGAAACAATTCAGAATAAGAATAAAAAGCCTAAGAATGGGAGGAAATCTTTGACAGCTAGTCTTTGGGCAGAAGATTAAAAGCTAGAATATATAAAGAACATAAAAAACTCAACACCAAAAAACAAATAGCCCAATCAATGCATAGGCAAATGTACTACACAGACATTTCTTAAAAGAAGAAATACAGATTGCCAAAGAATATATCAAGTGAGCAGAAAAAAATGCAAATCCAAACTACACTGAGATTTCTTCTCATCCTAATTAGAATGGTAACAAATATAAATAATAAAAAAAACACCGGTGAGGATGCAAGGGAGACAGTACACTTAGACATTTTTGGTAGGATTGCAAATTAGTACAATCACTGTGGACATCAGTATGGAGATTCCTCAAAAGACTAGAAGTAGAGGGGCTGGGGATGTGTCTCAAGCGGTAGCGCGCTCGCCTGGCATGCGTGCAGCCCGGGTTCGATCCTCAGCACCACATACAAACAAAGATGTTGTGTCTGCCGAAAACTAAAAAATAAATATTAAAAAATTCTCTCTCTCTCTCTCTCTCTCAAAAAAAAAAAAGAAATAGAAACACCACATGACTCAGCAATCCCACTCCTTAGTATTTATCCAAAAGAACTAACATCAGAATCCTATATAGCCATTCCTGCACACCAAAGTTTACAGCAGCAAAATTCACAATAGCAAGTTATGGAACCGGCCTAGGTGTACGTCAACAGATGAATGGATTGAGAAAATGTGGTATGGATACACAACGGAGTTTCATAGAGCCACAAAGAATGAAATGGTGTCATTTGCTGGCAAATGGATGGGACTGGGGGACTTCATGATAAGTGAAAAAAGCCAGACTCAGAAAGTCAAGGGTTGAATATTTTCTCTCACATGCAGAAGCTAGAGAGAAGAAAAGAATTAAAAAAAAAAAAAAGGATCTCACAAAAACAGTAGAATAAAGGAAGGGAAGGGAGCAAAGAGAACGGGGAGGAAATAGAGCATCAAGAGGAACAAACCATGTATGTGCATGTACAGATACATCACGATGATCCCACTGTTCTGCACAGTCATCATGCACCAGTTTTTAAAAATAGAAGGGAAATCAGTCAAGTTAGAGGAAGGGGATCGGGAGGTAGGGAAAGGGGAGGTACTAGAAAATGAAATTCTGTTATGTGCATGTATGAATGTCACAATGAACACCACCATTACACGTAATTATAATGCACCAATAAAAAGTTTTACAACTTGACCTATGATGTTTATTAAAGATTATAGTTGCTGACAACCAAAAAAAGAAACTTGGTTAGAAAACTTACATACTTTTTCTGAAATCTGAAAATTTTTGATAATACATAAGTTCTCCATTCTTTGAAGACTGAAGCCAGTATTCCACTCCCAAGCATCTAACCATGTTTCTTCCACAGTGGTCTATTGTAGCAATTTTTAAATACTTCACCTTATAATCTGTGCAGGTTCTCTACCTCCTCATCTGTGAATTTGAGTCTCATATTTTCCTAATCTCTATATAATTATTTTCACATCATTAAATTTGGTTAATGTTTCCACCCACCCATCTACCTGCCAACCATTCAGTCCTTTTATTCACCTGTCCATCCTCTCTCGGTGCATCCAGGTACCCATCCCCACTTACCATCCCTCTGTTGACGTACCTTTCAACGTATTCCTTTGCCCACCATCTATCACCCCTATATCCATCCTCTTACCCTTCTTTCTCATCTGACTTTTACCAACCTGGTTGTCTATTTTATGTCCAACCTTTAATCCATCTGCTTATTATTTACCTCTCTCTTCTTTCTCGTGTGAGCATGCACACACACACACACACACAAACACTCCTTCATGTACATCAACATATTTATCCCACTACACTGATCTTCCCTCTGTCTGTCTATCCCACCATCCAATCAAACAACTTCCATCAACAGACCTACCCACCCGATCACTAACCCTATATCCAGTCCAACCCACTTCACCCATTCTTCCATCCACCCACAATCCTTGCATTCACGCACCCAGAGAGCCATGCTTTCCTCACCTCTTCCTACTCCTCTAACCAACCTCGTGATATGTTGTCCCCTGAGGGACACACATCCATCCTTCCTACACTGATCTCCTCCATCCACCTACCAACCCACTCACCTATCCACACACACACCCATCTCAACGTATCCTCCTCTATTCACGATAGGCTGTCTCCATTGGTGGACACACGTCTGCCTACCTTTCTACACACTGCCAATCCCCCACCTACCTCGCCCATCCCGCAGAATGCACTGAGTATTTATTCTGGGCACTAGGTTCTAGACACAGGCCCATTTAATGGACCTCAGAGCTTCTTACACATGCAACTTGGCGATTCAACTAGAGGCACGTGGAACAACACCGAAAGACCCTGACAGGAAATCAGCCCAGGAGACAGGTCTTGGTCCATTGAGAAAGCAGGAGAGGCCAGGTGGAGGCCAGGGTGCTCTGGCTCTCCCTGGAGCTCACATTCATGAAGTCAGAAATCATGCAGAAGTCAGACCGGGGCAGAGTTAGGGCCATGACCCTCAGTGAGGGTAGATGAAGGAAGAGCAAGGACCCAGGTGGGTCCCTACCCAGCTTTCTCCAAGAAAGTAGACGTTAGCAGGGGCCCAAACCATGATTCATTCCAAAACTCAAAGACACCCATTTCATGTTTAAAAAGTGAGACCCATGGGTTGGCCGGGAAATCAGATGAAACAGAATGTGGTAGAAAAACCCGAAAGGGTTTTAATTTATTTTAAGAAAATTAAGAGAAGAAAGAAGCCTTGACTGGGGCCCCTGGGAGCCACTGGGAGATCTGTTGATGCTGATTCTTCAGCTTCTGTCTCTACTAATGATCTCATTCATTCCCTTGGACTCAGCATTCTTTACCTCCAAGTCCACAGTCAAATATCATATCCACACTTCATCAGAAATTCCCTGATGGCCTCTGGCAAGGACATCCATGCTCAGCTCCCTCTGTCCGCGTCTCTGACACTCATGTGCGGATGACACTCAGCAGCACCCTCATTTCTCTGGCCCTTGTGATTCCAAACTGTAAGACAAAGCAGTGGCACCAGGTGGTCCCTCGGAGCCCTGCCACCTAGGTACTCCATGTGTTCCTCTCCCCTGGGCTGAGCTTGGTGGAAGCAGAAGGAGGGCAGCCCCGCCCAGGACATCTTGATGGCTCACCAGAAATCGCATTCCCTAGCCTCCTTCAGTGAGCCTGCAGAGTTGGTGGGATGGGATTCCCACGGGACCTTTGCTGTGCTCTCCTAGATTTTGTGGCCATAATAGTTACTCACTGATGATGAGGCTGGCTTTTTCTGACTTTTCTCTGTCACATAAGAGAGTTTTGAGAACAAGGGTTGGCACAATAAGGCAACTCCTAGTCAGGAAAGAAAATGGGAACCTACAGGTAACTCACTCTCTGAAGAGCGCCTCTCTCCCCGCCAGCAGCCTGGCTAAATGGCTGTGGGTGTGTAGCTGCAGCTCTCCAGCAGCCTCCGTCCAGTCGCTCAGTGCGCAGTCAGCAACTCTGCTGAGTCACTGAACCACAGTCTGTTCGTTTTGTAGCTTCTCCTCCGACGAAAAGAGTTTGCATCAGATGTGACAGAGACTCCCAACAAGCCCCTGCTCTCCAAGCAACGCGCTGTGACCAGCACCATCTGGGGACTGTTATCAGCCTGAGCCTTGCCAACACCCCGCTCTGGGGCAACATCTTTACTCGTTGGCTTTAGTCAAACATGAATGACCCAAAGACAAGAGCAGAGGGAGGATGGTGGGAAGACGCAGCGGGAGGGAGAACCGGACACCCAGGCCCTGGGGGGCCCTCAGAAAAGAAGAGAAAAAGCTAGGAACAGAGAGGCACAAAGAGACAGATAGCAAGAGATGAAAGGAGACATTGTCAGCGGGGAGCGGAAGGGGCCAGTGGCTGGTGTGTGTGTAGGGAACAGAAAGAG